GTGACACGTAGCCTCTCTAATTGCAGCCATCATCAAGTTAGAATCTTATCCCTCAAATGGATAAGTGTAGATTAGTTCCTTATTTATACATTGACCCCTAAATCTTGTATTAATTACATTGTTTTTATAAAATTACATATAATAATACAAATAAATCATATATTTTTCCAACTGTAATTAAATAATATTAGTATCAATTTTAAAGAATAATTAAAAATTTGGGTTGTTACACGCTCAGGATACTACACTTTCACCAAAGACACACAAGCCAACATAATAACCACAACCACACTCCTTAACGAGATTCGCCAAGTTATTCACTATATTTCCTCAAAACAATACATTTTCATTGTTTAAGTATGAAATAATACTCAATGCAAGATGTATGAGTAATTAGTTTCAATTCACCTAATCCTCATGCAATTTCTACAACAATCAAAGCTATTATCCACCGATTGCCCAAAACAGATATTTTTATTCAACAGATAATTTCTAACAAAAGATATAATCTCATCATTTTCAAAATGGAAGTGATATTACATATCTAACTCCACCATCATCATCAACATACACATTCATTCCATTGTTTTAAAACACAATATCATTTTCCATTTTCTTTCACGAACTAAATATCCATGATTTTAGAACAAAACCCCATTTACTTTCAAAATCAATTTTAAGTAAAGAAAACCACTATTTTAACATATCTCAACAAAAAACATATCAACACAACCTTCCTCAAAAACCCATTTGGAAACCCTCTTTTACATTTCAAAATCAAACACTAGGTTTAACCCAAAATCCCCAAATCACTAGATTCTTTCAATGAACAAGTAACTAAGGTAAAAATCATATTAAAGATTGAAGAAATCCCTACCTCAAGAATAGAAGACAATAAAAAGCAAGGGTTGAAGTTAGGTGGAGCCAAAAACGATATCCTCTCCAATTAGATTGAAGCTCTCGACGTGCTCTATCTTTTTCTCCAAAGGATTAGGGTGAAGAAATCAATAGATTGAGAGTATTTGGGGCTTGAATGCAAGAACTAGAGAGAGAGAGAGAGAGAGAGAGAGAATGAAGAACTAGGGTTTTGGAATGTTTTAGAGAGAGAGAGAAAGTGAAAAGTGATTCAGAAAATCCTTTTCCCGAACTGATATATGTGCAGATTGCTCAAGTGACCAAAACACTACATGAGCACTAGACACAAAAACTGACACTGCTCAAGTGACCAAAAACACGCCTCGAGCCCACGATAACCCCCTCCTAGAAACTCAGACTTGCAAAAGACTGTGTGAGCTCAAGAAATACTGATTGAGCGAAGATACTTCACTTCCATAAGTTTTGTAGACCGTAAAAGAGTGCAAGAAAGACCGCTCAAGCGAACAAACAAAAATCTGGACGATAACTCTTTGCAAAAACTAACCCCCAACCTGTTCTAAATGAATAATAACTCCAAAACAACCAAACTCAACTAGCAATAAGATGAAAATGAGATGAACAACAGTTAAGGATATGAATTCCCGGATTCAAAAACAAGAAATGGGTCGGTTCTAGACCAAAATCATTATAATTCTAAAAGGAGTACAAAAATTCTTTAGTAGGCTTTTGGCAAATGTGTAATTTCAAACTGTACGGTTTTGATTTGGAATAGCTTGAAATGTGGGATTTTTCAAACATTCTAAAAGGAGTACAAAAATCTTTTAGTAAACTTTAGGCAAATGTGTAATTTCAAATTGTGGAAATTTTGGTTATTTATGGGTATTAACTAGCATCCATAAGTGTAAATTGTAGGGTTATACTGTCATTTCCACACAAATAGGACTATTGGGTTCATTAGATTATGAGGGCTGTTAGTTGTCCCCACCTTTGTACTTTGGCTCCCTCTACTTCTTTGAACTCCTATCTAGAAAAATGAGTTCCCTCTATTTTCTCTTTGATCCCCTACATTAATACTAATTATATCCCTAACTTCAAACCAAACAAAAACCTTAGCCCCTAACCCTAATCTCATTCCCACCAACTCCATCTGGTAGTTCCACCCCTCCGGAGATCTCCCAGCACATCCTCCATCGGCGACTACCCTTCCATATCTTCCGACCACAACGACCTCTTTCATATTTTTTTTAATAGATTTGCGGTGGAGATCACGATGGCGACTCTCTAGAAGAAGAAGAAGACCAGACCTACGAGGTGGCTAGGGTTTGTTATTCGATCTCTCTCTCTGTCGTTCGATCTTTCTCTCTTTGTCGCTCTCGCTTTCTCTCTCTCCCTCTTGCTCGATCTCTGTTGCTCGATTTCTCTCCCTCACAGTGGCTATGGTTTGGCTGCTAGGGTTTGGTAAAGATATGGTCGATGGTAGTGGTGAGCAGTGATGGTGAGAATGAAGATGAGAAGATGAGGAGAAAGAAGAAAAATAAGAATTGTTGGTGAGGATGAATATTGGAAGGGCAGTGATGGCGGGGTTGAGGGTGGTCAGATCTGTTGAAGAAGAAGAATAGAGAAGAGGCTGTCAGCTGTAGTGAAATGGAGTAGAGGTAGAGATGGAGGGTTAGGGTAAAAGATAGAGATGGGTAAAAATAAAAATTGGTGTTAGAGCAAAATTGTAATAAAACAAAAATAGAAGATGTTGGGGTCCAAAGGAAAAATGTATGTGCTAATAGCAACATTATTGATTATTTATAGGATTTATTAGCTGCTAAGATATGAAAATGGGATTTATTGGTGCTTCCAAATCAAAAAAATAAAAAAAGATAAAAAATTCTCTTTGATTGAAAAGATTTTTCAAATTCCGGCGAGATTCTCAAGGTTGTGTCCGGTGAATCTTTGATGATGGACTGTAGATCAGAGATGATAAGATATAGATCAACGATGGTGGAATATAGATCAAGAAGATAGAGTGTAGATCGGTGACAGTGGAAGTGGTTGATGAACGACGGTAGTAGATCGGTGGTGGTGGAGTATAGATCGAAGATGGTAGAGTGTAGATCAGTAGCGGTGAAGATGGTTGGTGAAAGTAGTGGACGATAGTGGCGGTGGTGGTGCATAATGGTTGCGGTGGTAGTGCACAGTGGAGTAAAGTTATCAAGTTGTAAAGAGAGATGAAGAAGAAGAAGAAGAAGAAGAAGAGAGAGAGAGAGAGAGAGAGAGAGAGAGAGAGAGAAATCTAAAAAATTATAAAGAGATAAGAGAAAATGAACGGTCAAACTCCACTTTACTCTCTTGTGGTTTGGGCCATGTGCGGTTATCTTCCTAATGTTTGAAAATGACCACATAATCCCCTTGTGGTTTGTGGATTGAAGTACATTATTAAGTCTGTTAACGATTCAATGAAAAAGACTAAAATACCCATGTATTTTCGTCATTTTCTATACAAACTATACTTTAACCCCTATACTTTATTCTATATGCAATTTAATCCTCTGTACTTTATTTCATGTGTGATTTACGTCCTTAAAATTTGAAAATGAGCATATAACCTCCTTATGTCTACTATGTGTTTCACATTTGCTGTTACGTTGGACAAAATATCTAACGATGCACTTTAGTTCACAAATCACGTTGAGGTTATGTGGTTATTTTCAAACTTTAGAGGGGTACATTGCACATGACTCAAATCACAGGAGATAAAGTGAAATTTGTTCTAAAATATTTAATGAGGACATTAAAGATATTTAAGGACTTACTAGTGTATATGAAAAGTCTCCGAGACTTATTAGTATTTAAGTCCATTTAATAGGATTGGAGAATAATTAAATATTTTTTATAATGTAAGTCCATTTAAATTGCATATGAATCAAAATTATAGGGGACGATTCGTATTTTAATTAAATCTTAAATGATATATTTATAATTTATCCTTAAAAAAATTATGAGCTAAATAAATTTTGAATTCTAACAAATCAATTTTTTTTTTTTTTTTTCAAAACTAAGGTTTGTTTCAAGGACCTGATTAAAAGAAACTTTTTAATTTTTTTAAAATTTTTTTATCACATCTCCTCTTCATTTTTTTTAATATATTTTTTTTAAAAATCAAAAAATTAATTTTTAATACACTTTCCAAAACAAGCCTAAGACCTTGCGATTATTTAGGAGTGACCAAACCTAAGTAAAAAACAGACTATAAAATGAAGCTTTGAAAACTAGAGCCGAGCCGACAGAAGAGTCCTACTACAAAACCCTGTTCTCATCATCCGCTCTCAAAACCCTTTCTCCCAAGTTTTCTCAAACTCTCTCTCTCTCTCTCTCTCTCTCTCTCTCTCTCATGAATTCATGAAATTCTCACTTGGCTCATTGTTGTTTTTTTTGCAAATCCATATGAGATGTTTAAGAAGAGGTCTAATTCACACTACCTCTTCTTCTTCTTCTTCAACAACACAACCAGAAGAGCTTTCAATACATGTCCATGTCCTCTTCCTCTTGAACCTCCAATTCCCTCAATTTCAACCTCTACAACTGACCACAGAAAATTTCATTTAGGGATAAAATTGTAATAAAATTAAATATCATTAAGTGTGTGTATAGAGGGGATTAGGTGTGTGTATATAGAAGCTCCCATATGAAAAGTCTCCGGGACTTATTAGTATTTAAGTCCATTTAATAGGATTGGAGAATAATTAATTTTTTTTTATAATGTAAGTCCATTTAAATTGTATATGACTCAAAATTATAGGGGACGATTCGTATTTTAATTAAAATTCAAATGATATATTTATAATTTATCCTTAAAAAAATTATGAACTAAATAAATTTTGAATTCTAACAAATCAATTTTTTTTTTTTTTGAAAACTAAGGTTTGTTTTAAGGACCTGATTAAAAGTAACTTTTTAATTTTTTTTTAATTTTTTTATCACATCTCCTCTTCATTTTTTTTAATATTTTTTTTAAAAAAAATCAAAAAATTAATTTTTAATACACTTTCCAAAACAAGCCTAAGACCTTGCGATTATTTAGAAGTGACCAAACCTAAGTAAAAAACAGACTATAAAATGAAGCTTTGAAAACTAGAGCCGAGCCGACAGAAGAGTCCTAATACAAAACCCTGTTCTCATCATCTGCTCTCAAAACCCTTTCTCCCAAGTTTTCTCAAACTCTCTCTCTCTCTCTCTCTCATGAATTCAAGAAATTCTCACTTGGCTCATTGTTGTGTTTTTTGCAAATCCATATGAGATGTTTAAGAAGAGGTCTAATTCACACTACCTCTTCTTCTTCTTCTTCAACAACACAACCAGAAGAGCTTTCAATACATGTCCATGTCCTCTTCCTCTTGAACCTCCAATTCCCTCAATTTCAACCTCTACAACTGACCACAGAACCCTATGCCTTTCCCTAATCGATCGCCTCATTCGCCGCGGCTCTTTCTCCTCTGCACAGCAAGTCGTTCAACGAATCATTATGCAGTGTTCCTCACTCCCTGACGCAATCTCGGCCGTCGATTTTGTCACAAATCGAGGTATGGAGCTTGACCCATCTAGCTATGGTGCCCTTATTCAAAAACTTGTGTGTTTTGGTGAATATCAGGTGGCTAAGGAGCTGTATATTGATAGCATTATAAGCAGAGGTGTTTGTCCTGATTCATTTTTGTTGGATTCTATGGTGATTTGTTATTGTAAATTAGGAGAATTGGAAGAAGCAAAAACCCATTTTGATAGGCTTATTTCAATGAAATCTGTTCATTTTAAAGGGGCTTGTAATGCTCTCCTTGGGGAGCTCTGTGCCCAAGATAGAGTCTTGGAGGCTCTACAGTACTTTAGTGGGGTCAGTGATGCTGGTAGTCTTCTGGGTTATTGGTGTTATAATATGCTGGTTGATGGGTTGTGCCTCAAGGGACATTTAAATGAAGCCATGTATGTGTTTGATATAATGCATGAGAGAGGGATTCCATGTACTGTTCATTTGTACAAGTCATTGATTTATAGTTTTTGTAAGAGAGGGTGGGTTGAAGAGGCCGAGTTGCTGAGTACAGAAATGGAGTCTCAAGGTCTTTTTATGGATAAAGTTATGTACACTACTCTTATTAATGGATACAGAAAGAGCAAGAAAATGAAAATGGCTATGAGGTTGTTTTTTAAAATGCTTAAGACGGGGTGTGAGCCCGATATTTATACTTACAACACATTAATACATGGGTTTGTTAATTTGGGTTTGCAAGAAAAAGGTTGGATTTTACATGATCAGATGGAAGAATTGGGAATAAAACCAAACGCAGTAACTTATCACATTATGATTAGAAACTACTGTAAGGAGGGGAAAGCTGATTGTGCTTTAATGCTTTTGGATAACATGTGTCAAAAAGGTATAGCTCCGACTGTGCACAGTTACACAGCCTTAATTTCTGCACTTTATGAGGAGAAGCGTGTAATGGACGTTGATAACATGTACTACAAGATGCTAAATAGTGGGGTTGTGCCTGATCATCTACTGTTTTTTACTCTTATGAAGATGTACCCAAAGGGGCATGAGTTTACTATTGCCCTCATGCTATTACAGGCAGTTGCCAAGGTTGGGTGTGGTATTGACCCTTCTTCCTTTTTTGCGTTTGATACTTCTGACCCTACTAGAGATTTGGAGCTAAAAATTGAGCATCTGCTGGGGGAAATTGTGGAAAGCAACTCTAATTTAGCTCTTGTGGCTTTTAGCATTTATATACTTGCATTGTGTGCAGCAGGAAAATCTGAAGTTGCTTTCCTTTGCATGGATAAAATGGTTAGTCTTGGATGCCGACCTTTGCTTTCTACTTACAACTCCTTGATCAAGTGTCTTTGCCAAGAGGGGCGTGTAGAGGATGCCAAATCTCTATATGACCTCATGCAAGATCAGGGAATAGTTCCAAATCTGGCTACTTTCTTAATATTGGTCAATGAACATTGTAAGTGTGGTGACTTGGCATCAGCTTTTGATTTTCTGGATCAAATGGATGAGAGGGGACTGAAGCCTAGTGTTGCTATTTATGATTCTATTATTGGTTGTTTAAGCAAACAAAAAAGAATATCTGAAGCACAAGATATTTTTAAGTGGATGCTTGAGTCTGGTGTTGATCCTGATGAGGTCATTTATGTCACAATGATAAATGCTTATTCCAAGAATGGAGGAGCTGTTCAAGCCCAGCAACTATTTGATAAGATGGTAGAATCTGGCATCCGCCCAAGTTTTCGTGCGTACACTGCACTCATAAATGGGTTAGTCAAGAAAAACATGATTGCGAAGGGTTGTGTGTACCTTGATAGAATGTTGGAAGATGGTTTTTTGCCAAATAATGTCCTTTATACATCTCTTATCAATCAATTTTTGAGGAAGGGAGAGTTAGAATTTGCCTTTAGATTGGTTGATTTGATGGAAAATTGCCAGATTGAGCATGATTTGATCACTTATATCACATTAGTTAGTGGCGTTGGCAGAAACATGGCTTGCATCAAAAGAAGTTGGCATACTCATAAAAATGCTGAAAGGATGAGGGAAGTGTTGTTTCATTTGCTCCATCAGAAAAGTTTGGTGCCATGGAAAAATAATTTGAGAATTTCTTTCAAGTCTCTTGAGGAAATAAAATTCATTGCTTTAAGGTTAATGAAAAAAGTTGAAGGCACTCGATTTATGCCAAATTTGTACCTGTATAATGGCATGATTTATGGACTTTGTTGGGCAAACATGATGCAGGATGCATATGAGCATATTGAATCGATGCAAAGAAACGGTGTGCATCCCAATCAGGTGACTTTTACAATTCTCATTGAAGGGCATATCCAATTCGGTGAAACTGATCATGCTATTGGGTTGTTCAATGAGATGAATGCCAATGGTTGTATTCCAGATAGAATGGTGTACAACAGCTTGATAAAAGGCCTCTGTAAGGCTGGTAGACTACGCGATGCATTGTCGTTGTCACATACAATGTATAAAAGAGGGTTTTCTCCTTGCAAGGCTTCTTATGAAAACCTACTCAATATGCTTTGCACCAGTCGTCTGAGTATTCATGCTTTGAGGATATGTGAAGATATGCTTGCCCATGGTTTCTTACCTTGCCGGTATAATCTTAACTCGTTGCTTTGCTTGTTGTCCGAAGAAGACAAATTGCATGAAGCTCGAGTGCTACACGATATGATGCTAAATAAGTATGTTAAATGATATGATACTTGAAAGACGAAAATTTCTTGATGAATTGGCAAAGAGCTTTCTGATTGAATCATGGTGTAAGCAAATATAACAGGGGTTGGTTTCACAGTGTAGAGGAAATATAGGATAAGATTTCTGAGATTGATGATAATGCAGAAAGGATGTGAAAGGTTATACAAGAGATCGATATAAGAGAATCAAAGTTGACTGCTGAAAAAGAAACAAGTATGAGGTAAAACCTTGTCAGAGAAAGTATATGCTCTTTCTTGTGATCTTGTGATATGCTGAAAATCTCAACACCCAAGAAGAGAATGCTGAAAAGGTATTGAGGACTAAGAATAATAAGTTGACATTCTCTCTCTCTCTAAAAAATTAAATGTTCATATATCCCTAATTTTTGTTTTTTGAAGTTTGTTCTTTTTGCTTCCTATCATATCTAGATTTTATCTCTTGATGTTGCCAGACTCTGAGAAGTACTGAAGAATTAAAGCAGTCTATAGAAGAGAGGGCCTTTGCTATAAAAAAATGCTGAAGATGGAGAATCTGGTCTGAAAAAGAGAGTTAAGGGACTTTCTATGAAAGTTTGGAAGATAACGAAAAGATTGCCAGGTAAAGATTACCTGTATAGTCAAGTGTTGTGCATTGAACTCCACTGATATTATTGTTGCTTGCATTCATATCCTTATAGAGTTGTATCCTTAAACTTGTTCAATTTATGTGGGTAGGGTGTGTTAGCTGCTAAAAGTAGCAGTAGTGTGGAGGAATGGCTTGAAGATCAACTAGGTCATGCCAAAGTAGCTGTTGGAAATGCAGAAAGATTTTGAAAACAAAAATAAGCCATTCTGAGAAAGAGCTGAAAGAGAAAATGCATCAGTTATTGGTTAAAGCATGAAGAAGTTGTTGCCATTGAAAATGAGCTCAGTACGAGAAAAAATGTTGTGGACAATGTTAAAGTAGCTTTGGAATCTCTTCCCTATGCAGATAGGCAGATGACAATCTTACAAAAACGTATGCTCTTGTAATGGTGGTTTGGCAAAAAATTCTACCTGAAATGGCATGAGGTCTTAGTTTTGTTAAAATTCTTTTGTATAGTGTAATGGTAATAATTTGTATTTTTTTTCTTCAGGATCAACTGAGTTAGAGATGGTGCAGAAGTTGAAAGATAAAATTTGAATTCTATCTGCAAAATTTGCTAATGTGGATTTCACATACCATGACCCTGTGAAAAATTTTGATAGGTCGAGGCTGAAAGGTTTGGTTGCTGAACTCGTTAAACTGAAGGATAGCTTGACAACGACTGCCTTGGAGGTTGCATGCTTTATATCATGTACTGGGTTTATTTTAGAAGCAATATATTTTGTTGCCAAGCCATGAAGTGTCCTAAACGTAATCACTACTGATCATTCTGCTGATTTTGTGTCCAGGTTGCTTCAAGGGGTAAGGTTGTTGTAGTAGACACAAAGTACTGGAAAATAACTGCTTCAAAATGGTGATCTTCGAAGAAGAGTTAACATTATCCCTCTATACAAAATCAATCCCATCCTGTCCTTCCTAAGGTGCAAATTGACTCTATTTTGCTTTCTTTACACATTTGTATCTCCCGTCATTGTTTGTATTTGTCAGAAGGCTATTCTAAATTTTCAGGTTGGCAAAGGGAATGCAGAAGTGGCACTATCTTGGGTAGCATATGATGAGGAGCTGAAGGTATGGTTTACATTAGCTTCTTTCTTTCTTTTTTTTTCTTTTTTTTTTTTTTTCTGAAAAGCAACAACGATATTTATTAAGCAAAAGCAAAAGAAAAGAGAGAGGACAAGGAGTCCTCAAACAATAAAAGAGATCCAAACAAAAGCAAACTAAAACCTACAAACAAGAAAAACCTATTACTAAGGTTTGCAAATAGCAGCCCAATCCTTAGAAATCAAGAAAAGTGGGACTCCTTTAAAAGGAGGGGACACAAAAGCCCAAAATGAAGCCAAAAAACGCGCCCCATCCCATAAAGAATCTGCATCTGACTCCTTTCTATCAAAGATCCGTGAGTTCCTTTCTAGTCAAATAGTCCAGAAGATAGCAAAAACAATACAAGACCACAATGTTTTGGCTCTCTTATTGCTGCCAAACCCTTTGAACTTCACACTAGAAGCATATGTGTGCAGTCCTTGGAGCAAACCATTGATCATTACAAAAGCCGAAAAGACGCTGCCATAAATCAAGAGCCATCGGACAATGAAGAAGGAGATGATCTGCCGATTCTGAGTTCCTCTTACACATCACGCACCATTGAGGACAAAGAAAGTGATTAGGCCTTCTTCTTTGGAAAAGATCATTAGTCATGACACCACTTTGAGTTAGGGACCACATGAAAAACTTCACTTTATGGGGAACATCCGCTTTCCAAATTTTCTTATGAAGGGAGAACAAAGGAGCGGAAGGCTCGTCCATGAGTTTGCCAAACAAAGATTTACAAGAAAAAACCCCTGAAGAGGTGATACTCGAAATCCTTTTATCGTTAGATAAAGATAAAGAAATCCCATCAATCAATGACAATGGAGTTTTTTTATGGTATTACTATCCTTTTGTTGTTCCTTGAATCATTGGTGTGTTTAGTGATGCTGGTGACCAGCCAAGGTTTTGTGCAAGTGCAGTTGAGTGTTAGAATGTTTCTGGAATGTTTCTGGCAACTGACTTTCGTAATGTTATGTTATGTCATCCTGAACCGTGTTTATCTGGCTAAGAATGACCAGAATTCCAATAAAAATTCATGTGTCTTTTGTTTTTGGTTGGATAACAAACTTGGTTTGGGTTAGTTACATTTTGTTTTTAACTCAAGGACAGTTGATGTGTGATGCAGAGTGCTATGGAATTTGCATTTGGTCCAAACTATTGATGTAGTGAGGGAGGTAAGTCTTTTTTTGGGCATGCTTTTTCCTGAGGTGCTTTAGTAGATGGTTAATTCTAATATAGTAATTGCTTTTCAGGATGGCTTATGGAGCACCTCTATCCCTGTTAGTAGGAACTTAACACGCCGGGCTCACAAGCGGGGTTTCACAAAATGTATTCATCATTCATTTTGTTTTTATACCAGTGAGTGATGTCAGCCAATGACCTTATCTCACGAAATGTACTGATTCTGCAGAAAGCAGTATATTATGCATCTTAACTTATTGACTCTTATCATCTCATTATCCATTCAATTTATGAACTTAATATCTTTGGTGTTAGTCGAAATTAAATTTTTGGCTCGTGCATGTCTACAGCGTTCATTGATTGCCTTTTACCTTCAATGTCATACTCTTTGTACCTTGAATAAGTTTTGGGTAAATTAAAAATACACCTCCTGAGATTTGATTCAAATATGGATCATCTTCTGTAGTTTTGAAAATTACATTCCATCTCTTAAGGTTTTCAATTTCATAGCAAATTGACCATTTTATTAATAAATTATGAGGTCAATTAACGGTTTTTAATGATATTAGAAATATGTTTCAATTAATAATTTAGGTAATTTTATTATTGTATAGGAGAACAATTACGAATTTTATTTTTTTTAGTTAGCTTTGTTAAATAAATTTTTTTGATAAGAGAATATTTGTAATTTTTCAAATTACAAGAGATAATTTATACTTTAAGCAAATTTTAAGGGGTATATTTGTAATTTATCCTTTTCACTAATGTGATTGCTAATCCATAAATTTCCAGTCAGTTCTCAAGCAGTTGTTAACTTCAGGTTTGACTGACTATGGTCTTGGCCGTGCAAACCTAATTACATCTCTACTCGCACCAGTTACAGTTCTTTAGTTGATGTTCAAGTATTGTGAAATTTTGCTAGAAGACAGAACCGTGATATTCTTGGGGGATGATAGTGCTTTTTCTAGTTGACGTTGACTCCGGCGACTACGGTTAAGTTTGGCTAAACTAAAAAAGTGCATTTATTTCATCTTTTTATCTTTTTTGGGTCATATCAATCAACATCTCCTCTTTACTTTTTCTACATATAATACAAGAAAAGTCAAAAAATGTACTTATTTAGTCTTTCCAAACTTGACCTACAAGAGAGAGGGGGTTTGAAGAGAGAGAGAGAGGGTATGGTTTGAAGAGGGAGAGAGAGAGAGATAGAGGGCTGAGTTGTGTTGTGTGATGTTTGCTTGGTTTCATGATATATATACATAGGGTAGTTTGGTTATTTTGTAAGAGTTTATTTTTATGGACAAAATATTTTAACACTTGATTTTTGAGTAAGAAAAATTCAAAATTAGATTTATGAATTACGTGTCCTTTAAAAAATTTTGAAAAATAAAGTATGAAGAAATAATATGCATCCCTTGAAAATGTAATCTCATCGTACTTACATAGTATGATTCCCCAAGTTTCACTAAGGGTTTGTTTTGCGATTTGCTTACTTTTTGACTTATTTTTTTGTTTATTTTTGTTTTGAGTGTACTTTTTTAATTTTTTTAAAAAAAAATTAGGTATTTAGATTTAGGTCGACATGGCGAATCGGAAAATTATAGGTTACGTTAATTGTGATTCTATTTTTGGAGTTACGATTTGAGTGTGAAATTGTGAGTTAAGTTTTGAGTAGTTGAAAATTTGTTTGGTTATGAGTTTTGAAAAGAATTTTTGAATTTTGAATTTTGAAAAGAGCAGATTGGGTTTACCCGGTCGTCTGGCTAGTTGACTGGAACAGTGCAATTTTTTTTTTTTGCAACTCGTTATTTGAAAAAAAAAAAATATATATTTGTTTTAGATATTTTTTAAATACAGAAATTATTTTTTTTTTTAGATTTTTTATAATAAGAATTTAACAATTCCATCACTAACCATTTTCAACACTATATCATCAAAAGAGTTTTGAATTTTGAATTTTGGTTGGTCCTAGGACACCACGTGATTATGTCCCAGGCCAATTACAAATCCCATCTCCCCTCATATTCAATCACCCAACACAAACCGTGGCCCTCAACTCCTCCACCAATCACAATGCATGTGGAGCGCCACGTAACGCTACGCCGGACCAATCAATAACATCTCGTGATTGATGTGTTGGTACTAGGGGTGATTGATGTGTTGGTACTAGGGGTAGATGCGGGTCGGTTGCGGCCACGAAACCTCAAATCCACTATCTGTTCACTAATTCGGTGGATGTGGATTAAGCAGAATGGCGGATTGGCGGATGAATGCAAACTGGTTTGGCGGTTTAAAATTTTATAAATTTTCAACATAATTCAACTTGTACACTTCCTCAAAAAAAAAAAAAAAAAAAAAAAAAGAGTATTACAGTCAATGCTTTAAAAAAGTATTACAATCACTGCATGTCTCATCAAAAGAAAGAAAGTTTGAAATTTTAGAATATTGTAATCACTGCATGCCTTATCTACATAAAAGTATTATAATATGTGATTTTTAAAATATAAAAAAAATTCAAACCACCAAAACCATTAACAAAGCAGTAGTAGAGATCATATGCCTCTATATTGTTGCATCTATATCTATCTTTGAAAACAAAAACCAATCAGCATATATCATTTTTTTATATATTATTTATAGAGTTAGATTTAAAAATCAAAAAATATACATAAATAATACATTAATTTTTTTCAATTCAAAAAATATATTCACGTTGAAATTTTTTTTCAACAGAATATATTCAACAAAATATTTAAACTCTTTTTCAACTGAAAACACAAACAGAATATTTAAACACATTAAAAACACAAAGTCTTACAATTTACTAGAGGTTCTCGCAGTTTGGCGGTTCAGTTGTGGCCAAAAGAATCTCAAATCCATCATCCGTCCAAAACTAGACGGATATTTTTAAAAAATATACATAAATAATACATTAATTTTTTTTCAATTCAAAAAATATATTCACGTTGAAAACTTTTTTCAACAGAATATATTCCACAAAATATTTAAACTCTTTTTCAACTGAAAACACAAATAGAATATCTAAACACATTAAAAACACAAAGTATTACAAATTACTAGGGGTTCTCGCGGTTTGGTGGTTCAGTTGTGGCGAAAAGAACCTCAAATCCGTCATCCGTCCAAAATTAGGCGGATTGAAAAAAATCAATTCGTAACCGTCCGCTTGTCATCACGCATCTGTCCAAAATGCAGCGAATCAGTTCGGTCAGTTTGTGCAAATCGGTATATCCACTGCTCACCCCTAGTTGGTACAATCACTGCTTGATACATGTTTTATTGACTGATACCGATTTAACAGAGACTCTACTTAACGGAACCCTCATTGTTATTCACTGTTTCTCTCTCCTATTAGGTTTTGCTTTTTGTTACCTCTTTCCTTTTGATCAACAATGGTGTTGTGCTGGGGAGATTGAAATCGTGTGGATCTTTCTTCCATGTACGATGCCGGTATCATAACTGCCACCAATGAGTGGCGATGCGGAAGATCAATTGAACCCTAGCGACATCTTTAATTCTCGAAATCAATTGGAGCAAAGGGCTTAGTCGTAGACTTCGAAAACATGTCTGATGTTGGGTTAGAACACATTGAATTCATTCATAGCTAGGGTTTGTAGTTCTTGTGTTAATTTTGAGTGGCATGACCGATGAAGAAGTTATCAAACTTGGAAGTTTGTGGGATGTTTTGGGCGGTTCTTATATATAAGTAGCTGCTTGTACTTATTTTTGTAAAATTTCTTGTCGACAGGTGAACTAATTGAATGATGACATGTGACAATAGAGTTAAAGTGGAGTCATTCAACATTTGGAGTGTGACGTCCCAATTTACTACTCTAAGGGTTAGGGTAACATCACTAAAGAGTTATTTGGTCAATAGTCAAGTAAGATCCCAAGAAGGTCTGAGGAGTCAATATAGCCTCCCTTCTAGGTCTAACCACCTTAGATAACAAGTTATCTTTTTGACAGATCTTAAGAGGTATTAACACAAGGTTTCATAAGTAACGCGGAAATAGGCATAGGATTACAAAAGCAAATAATAATTACAGTGTTTCAAATCTTAAATTACAAAATGAGCTTTATTACTATTACAATCCAAAAAAAATAAAAATAAAAACACGAATAGGCTCATAAGCAAAATGGCTTCTAACTTTCTCTAAAACAGACACAAGTCTTCAAATGTCTATGGCTCTTCGTCGGCTTTGTATGTTTCTTCGATACCTGGCATGAAACGTTATGAGTTTTGAATGTCCAGTAAACGCATACACACCCCGTCCCTTTTTCCCAATCTAATACACAATAGCAATTAAAACAATAGGGGAAAGAAACATGATATTCAAGTAAATAACAAGGGTTACAAAGTTAGTCGTTAGTAGTCTAGAAATCTCCCAAAGAGATTTCATCCTTTCAACCACAAGCATCAGACACAGATTATTCGATATGTCCCCTCTTTTGCTGCTTTGCAGACCTTACCCCCAGATGCCTACCAACGGTTACATACCGCGTAGCGCCAACCGAGGACCTCAAAAGAGATGGTAAAATAAGGGCCTTGCCCATTCCCCCCTCACACCAAAACCACTTAGGGTCCAAATATAATCGTTTCGTTCAAGGGTTCTGAAACAACCACTTGCGCAAGACTTTAGCTTCCAAAAGGGAGCACGTCCCACTAACCAATTCAATTTAAACCTAACCTTATCTCATAACAATATTCATGTGATCGAAACCCCATTAGTCACCCTATTAAGGCCTCGTTTGGGAACATGCTAATTTAGTAACTTTTTGGCTAATTGGCTAAAAAGGTAGGTAAAAAAAACTTGTATGTTTGGGATGACTTTTTGGCTAATTACGAAAAGATGTGCAAAAAGTAGAGAGAAAAGAGAATCTTTGACTTTTTGGTATGGGTTGTTGGCTTTTTGGCTAATTTAGTAACTTTTTGGCTAATTGGCTAAAATAGCCTCTTGCCAAACGAGGCCTAAGTTTTTTAATTTTTTTTTTTAAAAATTAGGTATTTAGATTCAGGTCGACAAGACGAATCGAAAAATTATAGGTTACGTTTAGTTTAGTTTTGGAATTGTGATTATTTTTTGGAGTTGCGATTTGAGTGTGAAATTGTGAGTTAAGTTTTGAGTAGTTGAAAATTTGTTTGGTTATGAGTTTTGAAAGAAATTTTTGAATTTTGAATTTTGAATTTTGAAAAGAGCAGATTGGGTTTATCCGATCGTCTGGCTAGTTGATTGGAACAGTGCAATTTTTTTTTTTGCAACTCGTTATTTGAAAAAAAAAAATATATATTTGTTTTAGATATT